CCCGGGCCGGGCTCACCCGGGGCGGAGCGCGGGCGGGCTCAGCTGTCGTTGCCGGTGACCGGTCGCCTGACTGGGCTCCTCCCTGGGCCCGCCCCCACAGGTTTATCTTGTGACCGCCGCGTCCGCTCCTTTCTTCCTCGAGCTTGGGACCTCGTTAGCTACGATGCGTTTCCTGGCTGCTGCGTTCCTGCTGTTGGCGCTCAGCGCCGCCGCCCAGGCCGAGCCGGTGCGGTACAAGGACTGCGGTGAGCCCTTGGTCCGCCCGAGTTTCCCTCGCCCTCTGCGGAAGCCCCCGCCGGAGCCGTGCTCCGAGAACCCCGGGCTGGTTTGGGTGGGTCCCTGGGCGGCCAGGCTCGGACCCCGAGTGGAATGGGCCGGGTTGCGGGAGAAGGTGCCGACCTCGGTGAAACCCGACCTCCCAGAACTTTGTCTCTTCCTTGGGACGTGTGTTTTGGGGTCCCTGGACACTCCTGGAGGTGGGCAGACAACAGAAGGTCCATATTCAGCGCCGGGGTTGAGGGGAGGGGCGCAGAACTTTTTATTTATGCCTTGTTTTTTGGATAACCTCACCCCCACACTCCCTTTGCTTTTCTTTTTAATTTCTTTTGATGACAAATCAAAAGTCAGTTCACCTTTTCATGATTTATTCTGTTATAGAATAGGGCTTCCTTTGGGCTATGGAATTCTGTGATTTTTAATCAATTTTTCCTTCTATAAAACTTGCGTTTTAAAGAAACTTGTGACACATAACTCCCTCTCGCCTGTGGTTGGAATCTTTGTTGGAAAATACAGCCGGGGTAGAAATTCTGAATGAGTTCATTCAGTCAAGAAAATAGAATTAATTGTTGGAGCAGAACCAGAGCTCGAACAGTTTTGTCCGAAGGTGGAGGTGGAGAGGTGCAATGATCGATGAAAGAGACGTGAAACTGATTTTGTAAAATATGTGAGCGGAAGGAAACATGGAGATCTTATAGTCAATCACAGAATTCCAAAGATGTTAGGTAACCTGCCTAAATCACACAACAGAATGGGCAACCAGAGTAAGTTTGCAGAGTAAGTTTGCTCCTTTATATATCCAGTGCCCAGGTAATAGTAACTGCTCTATAAATAATTGTTGAAAAAGTAAGTAAGGGAATATATACTCTTTCCACTATGTCATCAACATTCATGTTGAGGCTAAAGCAAATTTGGGGGATAGAGGAGAGGATTAAGGAATACAGACTGTTGGCCTGTTAACACTTAAATGCTGTTCCACTGACCTAGGAGACTGGCACTTGAAAGATGCTATTGTCTCCTCAAATTACTGCATTTTTCCTCCATTAAACTTAGTGGCCAACATTTGGATGAAGACACTATTAATTTCATCAAGTCATTTAATCCTAATGATCTATTTTACAGCTGAGGAAACTGAGGCACATAGAGTAACTTGCTCAAGATCTCACTGCTAATAAGCGGTAGGAAACCGGTGGTGTACATCTATGGGAAGAACTTCTTAAAGGGAAAGAGGATTTCAGTTACACATTTTCAATTTACTTTTGAATTGGGAAATATGAAACTCAGCACCCACATCAAAAGATTTTGCATTCCACTCTACACCTACCTTTCCTGAAGTGAAATTTCCTCAAGTGAGAAATGGGACCAGGCAAACTTTAGTTTTGCAGTGTTTGCATGTTAGAACTGAAGAGTTTGTTCTATTGATACTGGAAGTCCAAGAACCTCTTGTCAGCAAAAAACTGGATGAAAGCTACAAGTACTAGTACTGCCCTTTACTTAGCTCTTACAGGTCATGTGACCCAGCATTGAAAGAAGCAGGTAGAAGCCTTAACATAAGCACTGATTTCCAATAAATTGGTGTTAAAGTTCATGGTGTATTTTTTTTTTTCCTGTCCACAGAAGATGGGATGAAGTGTAAGAGAGTGCTCCTCCAACTATTTTGGATGCTTAGAGTGTGTACAGTTTGAGAACTCTGCTATAATAGAGAAG